TTAAACAGGGGAAATTTAGATGGGATATAAGGAAGTTCTTCACTGTTAGGGTGGTGAGGCACTGGAATGGGTTGCCCAGGGAAGCTGTGAATGCTCCATCCCTGGCAGGTTCAAGACCAAGTTGAACAAAGCCTTGGGTGACATGGTTTAGTGTGAGGTGTCCCTGCCCATGGCATGGGGGTTGGAACTGTATGATCTTAAGGTGCTTTCCAACCCAAACCATTCTATGATTCTGTGGTTCTCTGAGTCTGTGGACTACAACCAAAATAACCTTGGAAAATGATGCTTTCTCAGTATATTTACATTTGATAAGGAGGGGTCCAGAAAGCACAAAAGGCTGGTCTAGTGATGTATTTCCCTACCAGTGAGGAAGGGGAGTCACCAGGGATGATCAAGGTTAAAGTGAGGTATTGACAAATACTGTACCACAGAAAACAGAAGCTCTCCTCTCACCTTTCATAGCACCTTTCAGCAATCCTCTGCCAAGCTGTACCCACACAGATGTGGGGAGAGGGGGGAACTGTAATTACAGAATCCCAGCCTGGTTTGGGTTGGAAGGGACCTTAAAGCTCATCCAGTTCCAGCCCCCTGCCACGGGCAGGGACACCTTCCACCAGAGCAGGTTGCTCCAAGCCCCTGTGTTCAACCTGGCCTTGAACACTGCCAGGGATGGGGCAGCCACAGCTTCTCTGGGCACCCTGTGCCAGAGCATCACCACCCTCACAGGGAAGAGCTTCTGCCTAAGAGCTCATCTCAGTCTCCCCTCTGTCAGGTTAAAGCCATTCCCCTTGTCCTGTCCTCACTTGACCTTGTAAAAAGTCCCTCTGCAGTATTCTTGTAGGCCTCATGTAATACACTTTATCATTGGTCTTTAATATTATTCTTTATTAATTGCACACTCTATCTTTACTCTTTTATGTAGATGTGCAACAAAACCCATTGGATTTTAAACAAGCGTTTACCAATCTTAAAAAAGATGAGTTCATTGAATAGAAAGCAGCGGCAGTCTCTTCTGTTGACATAAAGCTAGCCTGAAAGCATTCCCAGCTCTCATTTCATACAGTCAGCTTTGTGCACTCTCACATTTTCAACCTAACTGCCTGCACATCGCTACAGAACCGCTCCAGCGCCTTTTCCTCCTGCTGCCAGGAGCTGCAGGATGACCTTCAGGTTTGCACTGGTGCCAGAAGCAGTTTATTCAAAAGGACCAAACAAAAGGAGGTTACAAGAAACTTGTGCATCTCTTTTCCTGACAGTGTTTGAACAACTACATAAGCTCATAAACATGACCCATCGTCGATGGTCAGTCAGGCTGTGTGAGAGCAATCCCAAGCTCAGGTCAGGCATAGAATCATAGAATGGTTTGGGTTGGAAAGGACCTTAAGATCATCCAGTTCCAACCCCCCTGCCATGGGCAGGGACACCTCGCTCTAAACCATCTCACCCAAGGCCTCGTCCAACCTGGCCTTGAACACTGCCAGGGATGGAGCATTCACAACTTCCCTGGGCATCCCATTCCAGTGCCTCACCACCCTAACAGGAAAGAATTTCCTCCTTATATTCAATCTAAACTTCCCCTGTTTAAGTTTGAACCCATTACCCCTTGTCCTATCACTACAGTCCCTAATGAAGAGTCCATCCCCAGCATCCCCATAGGCCCCCTTCAGATACTGGAAGGCTGCTATGAGGTCTCCAAGCAGCCTTCTCTTCTCCAGGCTGAACAGCCCCAACAGTCAATAGCTGGTGAGCCTGTTCCAAAAGCTCATCCCTTAAAATAAAGGATTGTCTCTGATTTCTTGAAGCAGCTTTGGACAAGACCGAGACCGTTTAAGTCACAGAATACTGAGACAGGAACAACTCTTCATGATGAACCCTTTGTTGTTCATCAGTAAATCACCATTGAGGAAAGGTGAGATTCCATTACTTAAAAAGGGAATGAAGGGTTCTTGTCATTCCCCTTTAGCACATACTTATATGAAAAACTACTACGATTGTATGCTTTTCCACCAAACTCTGTGTAAAACCCAACAGCAACAAAGCAGAATTCAGTGTATCTGAGGAAACTCAGTGCATGCTTTGAAAACAAAGTCGTTTGATAGCCTGACCTTGATCCAACCAAACACAACCCACTTCTAGTCAAAGGGACACATTTGTTTTAAGACAGAAAAGCTAAAACAGATCAAGCCTTGGTTCCTCGGGACAGAGCCCTTGTGAAAGCACACAGCAGATGAACCAAACTATCTCGATTACAAAAGGTTTTATTCTTACAGATGATGCTCCTCGGTGTTGAGAACAGTTCCCCAAGGGTGCCACTCTCCTGTGACATTTGCAGTGCCTGGGGGAAACAACCACAACAAAGAGCCCACATGTGCACAAAGCAGATAACAGATGCAGCTGGCTCGATGGCAACCCCTGCTCTGGTAGGGATGCCCTGGCCCCCCTGCAGCACAGGGAGCAGCTCCAAGCACTCCCCGGGAGCTCACACAAGTCCTTTGTGTGGGCTGTGTGGTGGGGAAAGCAGCACGGGTGGTGTTAGCTCCTTCCCAGCCTTATCCAGCATCCCATCGCAGGTGCTCCTCACATGCATCCTGTGGCACAAACGCAGCCGTACCTCCAAGAACACTGATGCTGATTTACTGTTCCTTCACTTTCCTCAGTGTAAGCTCCTATAAACTGAAACCCCCCTTTTTAGGAGCTATTTTGGAGCTGAAGCAACATCTGCACCTGCTGCTCAGCCAACAGAGCAGCTCCTGGAGCCTGCCCCAAGCTGCTTGCGAGCCCAAGGAGAACCCTCCCTACCTGGCAGCAGTTCGACACCAGCCCAGCTCTGCTGATACCCTCAGAGCTGGTCTGAGGCAAGATCTAACCCCAGCAGGGTGATGATGCTCGACTCCTGAGCACCACCGGTAAGGAAGATCCCAGGTAAGGAAGAGCACCACAGTACAAGGAAGCAGAGCACCAAATGGGTGAAAACCACCAGCAGGTCAGATCTGTGGCACTTCACAGTTACTTGGAATAAAAAGGTAAGGCCTGTGGGCCAGGAGAGAACCTGTTTTATCATAGAATCACAGAGTGGTTTGGGTTGGGAGGGACCTTAAAGCTCATCCAGTTCCAACCCCCTGCCACAGGCAGGGACACCTTCCACTAGAGCAGGTTGCTCCAAGCTCCTTCCAACCTGGCCTTGAGTATTTCCAGGTATTTTAGACTTTCTTTTGAGCAAGATCCCTGTGTCCCAGCAGGAATCTGACAGGATAGGCTGGAAGGTTTAGCTCCCTCATTAACAGACATGGGCATATTGAGCTTGTGAAGGAAATAACTTGCTCAGTGAGATCTCAAGTGAAAGAAGGATTACACTAGTGCAGCACCATCAAGCTGAAGTACTCCAAGCGCCCACCAGTATGTGCTCTACATTCACATGCTTGAAGCAGTTCCTAAACTCAAAAGCACCACCTCTGCACATGAAATAACCCCCAGTTTGGTCTTGTCTATTGATTCTCAATGCAGTTACACACAATCTGCTTGGACCCAGCAGAGTGCTGCTTGTGACAGTGAGCACACGCACTCTTCATGGGTAGGTTTGCCAATGTGACGAACAACAGGACATTGTCCCAGCACCAAAACCAGCAGCAGGGCAGGATAAACCTCATTTTAGGCTACCCTGGCTGGACCTGTCACTCACTGATCCTCATACAGGCTCTCCTGAAGCTTAGAGAAGTGCGCTTCCTTAACAGTGTTAACTGTTGGACACTGGGATGCTGCGGACGTTCATCCCGGTGGGTCCTTCCCAAGCAGCTTGTGGAGACCTTGGGCAGCTTTAGGGGAGGAAAGAAGCAGCAGCAATCGCAGCTCTTGCTGTTTAGAAGTAAAATTAAGCCAATTCCTGATACAAATCATTTCATGGTTTATTGCCAATAATCTCACTTCCCCTCCCCACACACCCCATCATCCTGACCCCAAGTCTCTGAGGGGTTAAATCTGGGTTGATGAGCGAAGAAAACCGTTTTACCTTTCACAGTGTGTTTTAAGAGATGGGAGGCACAAGGATTTGTCACCGCCGGGGGTAAAGCCTCAGCCCGATCCCTGTGTGGATCCCGTTTCAAAAACAAACAATCCATTTGGGACTGGCGGGGAGCCAGGCCATGGGATTGCGGCTCAATGGGAAACCTCGGGTATTTTGAACTGTAACAGTTTTCATCCCTTGGCTGCTTTGGAGCTGAGCCGCGTTCCTTTCTTTCCACCACGTTCAAGAAACAGCCGGTACAAACAAGCACGGGGCACGAACCGCGGCATTCCAATCGGTTCGGGGGAGACAAAACCCCACCGCCCGTCTAAACTCCTGCCAAGAAACCATTGCAGAGCCCCTCGAACGCGGCGTGCCAGCGGCAGTAACAACCACAGACCCCAGATCTATCGCGTAGCTTTATTTTTATAGGACCTATCATAGACTCTTTTACATAACTTAAATGATTATCAAATAATCTCCTGTACACGGTGAGACCGAGCCGCGGCGCCTCCCGAGCTCTGACACGTTCCTGGAAGGAATCCAGTGGTCTGTAGGAATCACATCCCCGCAGCACGGTGCACTGCTGTCCCCAATGTACACCATCGCTTCATCATCGCTGTCAGTTGCCGTTTGCAAGACCCTGCAAGGCACTGTTGGACCTCAGGACTCTCAAGTTTTGGTAGCAGCATCGCTTCACTGGAACATCTCTTTTCCTCGCCTTGGTGTCCTCCACCCGCACTGGGGAGCCTGGGGGAAAACGCTAAAGGCACCGCAAGAAGTGGCCGAGTTGGGAGACGGAAATCACGGACAAGAAGTCACCGCTTGCCCCCCGTTGTAACGCCGCATACCCCGAGCCGCGCCTGCCTGCAGCCGGACAAACCCGGACCCCGACGGAAGGCGGTCACCGGCCGCTGTGAAAGGAGCCGATCATCTCACACTTTACTCGCAGCAGGGGGAGGCGGCTCGCAGCATGCAGCATCCTGCGGGAGCCGCGGTTCAGGGTCGGGACCCACGTCCCCCCGCGTCCCCCATCGCGGCCCTACAGCCCGGGGAAGGCGGCGCGGTGGAAGCCGGCGCTGTACTCATAGGGCACCTGCGGCGGGGGCAGCGGGCACTCGGGGAAGAAGGAAGCGAACCCCGCCGGAAGGTGCCCGCCGGGCTCCTCGCTGCCGCCGCCGGGGGCCGGCTCCCCGCCACCGGGGTACAGCGGGCGCAGCGCTTCCGACGGCGCTTTCTTGCCGGGGCTGCACGGCCCGGGCGTGCTCCAGGGCTCGGGGTAGAGCAGCCCGCCCAGCAGCGGGTGATGGGCGCTGGGCAGCGGCAGCGCCGCGTCGTAGAGGCCGTGCTCCAGGCCCAGCTCGGCGGGCAGGCGGGCGGCCGCGCCGCCGGGGAAGGCGTCCTGCGGGGCGGCGTGCTCGGGCAGCAGCGCGCTGTACTCGGGGCCGAGCAGCTCCAAGAACTCAACCGCATCCCCGCCGCCCTTCTCCGGCTCCTTAGCGCCCGGTATTGGCCCGCGGGCGGCGGCGGGCAGCGCCGGCTCGGTGAAGAAGGAAGGGGGCAGGTTGCGGTCCCGCAGCGGCACCTTCCGCGGGCCGCCTCCCGCAGCCCCGCCGCCGCCTCCCGCCGCATCCCCGCCGCCCGCCGGCCCGGGGCCGTGCTGCAGCGACCCGAAGAGCGCGGCCAGGCTCTTGCTCTGGAGGCTGCTGGCTCCCTGCGAGCCCTCCCGGCGCGGCGGGGGCTTAGCGGGGCATGAAGCGGGCGGGGAGGAAGCGGAGGGCGCTGGAGGAGCGGGAGGCGGCGGCGGGGCGGCGGCGATGATGCCGGTGCAGCGCTTGATCTGCTTCTGCAGGTACTTGCGGTGGTTCACCTTCCGCTTGGACTTCACCGGCTTGTCCAGCGCCAGCTTGATGTTGCTGGAGGCAGAGTCGATGAAGCTCAGCAGGTCCCTGGTGGCTTCTTTAAAGTCCCCGGCGGCGTCGCCGCCGCCCTCGTAGCCCTTCTCCAGGTCGGCATAGCCCAGCAGGCCGCCGGCGGCGGGGAAGCAGAAGGAGAGGAGGTGATGGGGGCTGAGCAGCGCGGCGGGCACGGCCATGGCCGGGGCGCCGGCGCCCCGAGCTCCGTTGGGCTGCGCCGGGCGGGCGGCGGCGGTGGGGAAAAGGCGGCGGAGGAGGAGCGGTCGGAGCGGGGCCGGGCACGGCCCTCGGCGCCTCCCCGCCCGGCAGCGCAGGGGACGGGCCCGCACCGCTGCGCACAGCCCCCGGCCGGGGCGGCGGAGGGGAGGGCGGAGCAGAGCATCCGGGATGGGTACAGAGCCCATGGGGTGGGTACAGAGCCCTCGGTACGGGTATGTACATCCCTTTGGGACAGGTACAGACATCTCAGGACAGGTACAGAGCCCTCGGTACGGGTATGTACATCCCTTTGGGACAGGTACAGACACCATAGGACAGGTACAGAGCCCTCGGTACGGGTATGTACATCCCTTTGGGACAGGTACAGACACCTCAGGACAGGTACAGAGCCCTCGGGACGGGTATGTACATCCCTTTGGGGCAGGTACAGACACCTCAGGACAGGTACAGAGCCCTCGGGACGGGTATGTACATCCCTTTGGGACAGGTACAGACACCTCAGGACAGGTACAGAGCCCCTGGGATGGGTATGTACATCCCTTTGGGACAGGTACAGACACCTCAGGACAGGTACAGAGCCCTCGGTACGGGTATGTACATCCCTTTGGGACAGGTACAGACACCTCAGGACAGGTACAGAGCCCTCGGTACGGGTATGTACATCCCTTTGGGACAGGTACAGACACCATAGGACAGGTACAGAGCCCTCGGTACGGGTATGTACATCCCTTTGGGACAGGTACAGACACCTCAGGACAGGTACAGAGCCCTCGGTACGGGTATGTACATCCCTTTGGGACAGGTACAGACACCTCAGGACAGGTACAGAGCCCTCGGTACGGGTATGTACATCCCTTTGGGACAGGTACAGACACCACAGGACAGGTACAGAGCCCTCGGGACGGGTATGTACATCCCTTTGGGACAGGTACAGACACTCCAGGACAGGTACAGAGCCCCTGGGACGGGTATGTACATCCCTTTGGGACAGGTACAGACACCATAGGACAGGTACAGAGCCCTCGGTACGGGTATGTACATCCCTTTGGGACAGGTACAGACACCTCAGGACAGGTACAGAGCCCTCGGTACGGGTATGTACATCCCTTTGGGACAGGTACAGACACCTCAGGACAGGTACAGAGCCCTCGGTACGGGTATGTACATCCCTTTGGGACAGATACAGACACCTCAGGACAGGTACAGAGCCCTTGGTACAGGTATGTACATCCCTTTGGGGCAGGTACAGAAACCTCAGGACAGGTACAGAGCCCTCGGTGCGGGTATGTACATCCCTTTGGGACAGGTACAGACACCTCAGGACAGGTACAGAGCTCTCGGTACGGGTACGTACATCCCTTTGGGACAGGTACAGACACTGTAGGACAGGTACAGAGCCCTCGGTGCGGGTATGTACATCCCTTCGGGACAGGTACAGACACCTCAGGACAGGTACAGAGCCCTCGGTGCGGGTATGTACATCCCTTTGGGACAGGTACAGACACCTCAGGACAGGTACAGAGCCCTCGGTACAGGTATGTACATCCCTTTGGGACAGGTACAGACACCATAGGACAGGTACAGAGCCCTCGGGACGGGTACGTACATCCCTTTGGGGCAGGTACAGACACCTCAGGACAGATACAGAGCCCTCGGTACAGGTATGTACATCCCTTCTGGACAGGTACAGACACCATAGGACAGGTACAGAGCCCCCAGGACAGGTACACACACCCCCCTTAGGACACATACACACACACCAGGACAGGCAAACACACCCTGGGACGCATACACACACCCCCTGCACACAGACACCCCCAATCAGCTGCATTATGCCACCCTGGACCAGACCCCAGCAATCCCAGCCCTGCTCGGTGCGGACTCCATCACCATCGTGCACCCACCCCAGCACTGTCCCCATTGCTGGCACTATCTCCTGCCTCAGGCTGGGGTGCTGGATCCCCTGCGCTGCTCTAGGTGCATGGGCACGGGCATGGAGAGGTGCTCTTGCTCTGGCACCCCCAGGATGCACAGGTCTACATTAGTTTGCAAAGGCTGGTTGGGAGAAACCCAAGCTCAGTGGTGTGTCCATTGCCCATTGCTGCGTGTTCCTGGTCAGGCCAAGCCCTGAGAAAATCCAGTGCTGCAATCCCTGGGTTACTGGGCTGCATTCAGTTGAACCTGAAGAGTTTTACTTGCGTGGGTTCAATGAAGCAGCGATATAAATCTTCCACATGGGAGGCAGAAAGATTAGTGGCTACTGAAAGTACCGATAACAGCTCCTGAAGGAACTGATGTGTCCTTTCTGGGGGAAAAGGGTGCTTGGTTTGATTTGCCTTTAGAAAACTCTTACATTGATGCAGCGCAACCTCAACCCTTTGCACTCCAGTTCGTTTTCAGTGATTTCAGTGATGGTTTTAAGCTGAAAGAGGGGAGATTGAGATGAGCTCTTAGGCAGAAGCTCTTCCCTGTGAGGGTGCTGAGGCGCTGGCACAGGGTGCCCAGAGAAGCTGTGGCTGCCCCATCCCTGGCAGTGTTCAAGGCCAGGTTGGACACAGGGGCTTGGAGCAACCTGCTCTAGTGGAAGGTGTCCCTGCCCATGGCAGGGGGGTGGAACTGGATGAGCTTTAAGGTCCCTTCCAACACAAACCAGTCTGTGATGATTCTATGATTCTATGATATATCCAAATACCAATACAGATGCGTATCTGATTTTGACTGCAGTAGAGAGAGTTTTCTTGGTCTGCACTGATCCATTAGGAATGCAGCAGGTTTGTGTTAGCAGGAAAAACCAGAAAGCAAATCTCTGCAGAAGAAAAAGGGAACAGGCTCCTAAGGCTGTGTTTGGTGGTAAAATGGAAATATCTGCCAAGCCCACGTCACTGTGGTTCCAAACACGCGTTGAATGCAAAGCAAGTGTTGCAAAGAGAGAGAAGAGGAAGCATGTGTTCCATGGGATGAAACAGACACAGGCTTCAAATCCTCTACAAAACACAATGATGGTTTTCTTGGTCCCTCACCTGCATCTGGGCAGGTCCCAGCAGGGCTCTGGGGCACGCAGAGCCTCATGGTCCCAGTACAGCCCTGCCTCTGGTACCGGCACATCTGGGCTGGGTCTCGTGCAAAACCTGCTCAGCTGGAGCCTCGCAGAGTCTCTTATCTGAGGAGATGCTCAGGGTGCAACCGTGTCATTGAAACAGAAACCCCTGTAGACCAAGGGCTTTGGGAATCCAGACACCTCTCCATGTGAGAGTGAGTGGAAGTGGATTTGCACTGACTAGCTAGAGTGTAATCATAGAATGCCAGGCTGGAAGGGACCGCAAGGATCACCTCTTTCAACCTGGCTTGGCAAAGCATGACCCAGACTGGATGTCCCAGCTCCCTGTCCAGCTGAGCCTTAAAAGTGCCCAACACTGGGGAATCCCTGGGATACTGTTCCAATGGCTGACGGGTCTCATTAGGGAAATTTTCCCTCTTGTGTCCAGCCAGAATCCCCCATGAGTAACTTGTGCCCATCACCCCTCATCTCTTCCATGGGACTCTTTGCAAAAAGGGAGTCTCCATCTCCTCTGTAGCCACCCTTTAACTACTGGAACATGGGGATAAGGTCACCCCTGAGCCTTCTTTTCTCCAGGCTGAACAGTCCCAGCTCCCTCAGCATTTCCTCATGCACTGCCCAGTCCTTGGATCATCTTTGTGGCCTTTCTCTGCACCCTTCCAGTCCATCCATATCTGGTTTTGTGTAACAGGTGCCAAAACTGAACACAGTTTTCCAGGTGTGGCCTGACAAGCACTGAGCAGAGTGGGACAGTGACACCCGTATCTATGCCAGTGATGCCCCCGTTCATGCTCCCCAGCACCATGTCGGCTTTCTTTGCTGCAGCAGCACACTGTTCACTCCTATTGAGCTTAGGTCCATCAGGATCCCCAGGTCCCTTTCCCAAAGCTGCTCCCCAGCCCGTGCTGCAGGCTTGGATCAACTGGCACAGATCAGCTACCCAAGCTTTTACCCTCAGGTCCTGTCCAGCCCCATCAAGCCCTGCAGCCTGCTCCAAGCTCACTCACTGATGGGGAAACATAAAGAGCAACATATACATCCGTGTGTGGTTTTGCATCCACTTTGAGGCCACTTTAAACTGCACATGGGTCTAGAAAATGGGGATCACTGGCTGTGCAGCCAGTCTGGGACCATTTCTTAGCATGAAATAACTCTAATACAGCAGCTAAGTTGTCCTGACATTGGTATCTGCTGCGACGGTACAGCAGCAATATATCATAGCCAGTCTAAAGGGGGGTGTGAGTCTGGGTGGTGTTATACATAGAGTGGCTAAATATCCGGTGGCTTAGAGAAATCAAAAGCTGAAAGCCCCTGGCTTCTCTGCTGAATTCATTCAATTAAAGAGCTTTGAGAGCTCAGCTACGCTTTAGTGAGAGACTTTATTGCCTCCTAAAACTTGCAGAGTATTAAAACAATTGCCGGGCATGCAGAGGGGAGTTTGCATTCAGCCGGGCTCAGCAGCCACATTTACATATTCTCCACCAGATCTGGAGATGCAGAAAGCCTTCATAATTGCATTAAACGTGCCTATTCTCCGTGTGCTCTCAAGCAGAGCTGATTACCCCGAGTTGGGCGATGCCCGGAGGGGAATTTGCTAAGCCACATGATGTCAACAACTTGCAAAGACACTTCAGTTTTCCAAGGAAATAGCGGTTTGGTGATCCCTGCAAAACATCTCTTTCCCAGAGGATGGATGAGCCAAATCTTCTCCTTGTGCTCTTTCAGGATGAAGATGCTCCAGATGCACAGTGTGCCTCTTGCACCCATTAGTGACCCTCCTCAGCTCGCTGGTAAGGTCTAAAGTGATGGGGTTAGACCCACAGAATGACCCCAACCCAGGCAGATGTTCAGGACAGATGTTCTGGTCCCTCCACTCTCCCCCCATCAGAACAAGGGGAGTGAAGTGGCTGCAGAAGTGCTTTCCCCATCCCAACCCTCCACCCTGCAGGACCATGTTCAGTGCTCACTAAGGAATCCAG